CAGAACTCAATGTTAGATTTAAACAAAAGATTAGGGCAACTCATAATCAATGAGACTTAATGGAAGTAAATGAAATTTACAGGAAGATGAATTTTGCTAAACAGAAATATTCTGAGAAAGGTAATAAACCAGACAAATTGCTGATCTATCTCTGTGAAAAGAACAACAGAAAATAATTATTGCTACTACAGGTAGTCCTCGCTTAATGACCACAATTGGGACCAGAATTTAGGTCGCTAAGTGATGCAATCATTAAATGAATCGTCATGTGACTGGATCGAATTTAACAACCTTTTTTGTGGTGATTGTTAAATGAATCATAACAATCGTTAAGCAAACCATGCAGTCATTAAGCAAATCACATTGATTTTGCTTGCTGGAAGCCAGCTGGGAAGGTTGCAAATGGTGATCACATGACTCCAGGATGCTGCAACTATCATAAGTGCAAGCTGGTTGCCAAGCGCCTGGATCACGATCACGTAACCACAGGGTCACTGTGATGGTCATAACTTTGGGTGCCAATCATAAGTCACTTTAGCGCCATTGTAACTTCAAATGGCTGCTAAACAAATGGTCGTTAAGTGAGGACTACCTGTATTTGGGAATGGAAAGGCATATGTTTCAACCCCAGAGATAATAAATCAACCTGTTAAATACTACCCTAAATTATACAGAAAACAAACATTAAATCAGGAGATCAAAGAATACTTAAATACAACACAGATCATGAATTTACAGATCAGCAAAAGAAGTGCTTAATAAACCAATTACAGAACATGAAAAAAGAAACAATACAGAAACTGAAATTGAATAAAACCCCAAGACCAGCTGATTTTCTTGCAATATATTATAGGACCTTCCAAGAAATCTTGATGAAACCATTAACCCAGGTCATGAATCAGATATAACAACGTCAAGTATTTCCCTCCTTGTGACAAGAGGCTTTTTTTTTTTAATTTACAAAGCAGGAAATGTTCCAACCTATCCAAAGTCATAAAGGCCTATTTCTCTACTGAATGTAGATTATAGTTCTTTAGGGCTATAGTTGCAAGGAGATTAAATGGCTTTATAACTGATCTAATACATCCTGGCCAGATGAAATATGTTCTGAAGAAATACATGAGAGATAATATCAGATATGTTTTGAATGCCACTGAGAATATAAATCAGAAAAAAAAGTGGCAGAGAAAGATTTTGATAGATTGAAATGGCTCTTCATATACATGACTCTGAAGAAGATAGACTGTGGTTTGAATTTTCTCACATAGATAAAGGGCATTTATAAAGAACAAAAAGCTAAGATAATGCATTGTAACAAAAGGGGCAAGACAAGATTGTCTTCTCACTTCTTAAACCAAGGTATTAAATGAGTGGCAGAGACAAATAACTAATTTTATCTGGTCAAATAAAAGACCAAGGATTAAACTTAAGATTTGCAAGTAATAAAAGAATGAAGTGGACTAGCAGTACCAAATCATAAACTATATTATCAGGCTAGCTGCCTAACTTGGATTAGAGATTGGATTGTATCATATTATGGTGAGGTTACTTCTGCTGAGGGAGCAGAACCCCAGAAGGTTTGCATAAATATCTTGGAGTCAAACAGAAATGTACTATCTATAAGAGATCATTTAATTATAAACAGCATACTAAAAGTATGGGACAAGTACAGAAAAAGAATAAGCCCAGACTTATCACTCCTTGCTTTAACATTAAATGCAGTGGTACCTTGGGTTACGAACGCCTCTGCTTACGAACTTTTCAGGTTACGACCAGCTCTGGCCGCAAAAATTTACCTCGGTTTGCGAACTCCGCCTCAGGGTACGAACCGGATCTGTGGCCATTTTCCGCCGTGCCACGTGGTCTGCGGCCATTTTTCCGCCTGTGCCACGTGGTCCGCAGCCATTTTTCCGCCCGTGCCACGTGGTCCGTGGCCATTTTCCACCCGTGCCACATGGTCCGCGGCCATTTTTCCACCCATGCCATGTGGTCCGCGGCCGTTTTTCCGCCCTGCCGCGTGGTCTGCAGCCGTTTTTCCGCCCTTGACACATGGTCCATGGACGCCAGAACGGATTAACGGTAATTACATTGAACCTTATGGGAAAATTTGCTTCGGGT